GACAGGGTGCCTTGTCTCAATGTCGAATACGGCTGCCCGTTCATCATGTGCCGCTCAAACGTGGCTAAGCATTTGACGGTGTGTCCTGCCAGTGTCGTCTCCTGCTCAATGGAGTGGAACCGATGGCCCATTGAAGAGTCTGAGACCCCTGAGTTCTACGAGAACATTTTGAAGGAGAACTACACTCAGGAACCTCTGGATCTCTCGATGGCTCTGAGAGACCAGCAGCATCTGTTTCATTCTCTTAAAATGAAGACTCTCTTTCCTGAACTTATTGAAAAGGTGGCTGAGGAGCCTTCGGTTGCAGTTCCGGAGGGGGCCGTGGGAGGGGTACCGCTCTCGAATGGAGTCGATGAAGCGTCTGCGTCTTCAAGTGCAGAAATGGAAGGAGGTGGGCTCACTCAGGAGGAACGAGAGGAATTAGCGAGGAATCCTACTGTGGTCAATCTCGAAAGCTATTATATTTGGGAAAAAATGTTCAGCATGGAATTGAGCGGCTGCAAGCATACAATAAAATCTATTGGGCAAAATCCTGAAACCTCTCGCAAAGAAATAAAGCCACAAGCCAACCCAAGCAGGTTGGAAGTCCTACGGGAAGAGCTGCCAACGAAGAACGAAAGTCTTGACGCCTCTACTGACATCCCTCAATACAATGCATACGACATGGATGAAGACAAATTCCTCATAGCCACATCCCTGTTTGCATGTGACACGAGGCCCAAGAAGAAACTTGTCTATCAACATTTGGAGCCCATGAAGATTAAAACAGTCCGCACTTTCAAAGTCCCAACCAGCTTCAAAGCCAAACAAAGTCGCATTCGAAACCCCTCGCATAACAAGAAGGTGAACTCAAGCGTAGACACATCTGACCTAGGTGTTGAAATCGATGACATTCCAAAATGGGATGAAGTTCAAGCTACTCTGTTGTGCTCTTTGGAGAGGGAACTACGGGGGCATCTCATAGCCGAATCCAGGTCTACAGATGCCCTTCTTCTGGACGTTGGAACACAGACGTATGATTTCTACTTGGCACCTTTCAAAGAAGAGACTTCACTGGCCGACATCACTGCAGACCAGGCTTTGAAACTTCACGTCCACATTCAGGCTGAGAGCGTCACCAGAAGACACAACAAATCCAGCTCTGCGTTTACCTACCTCTGCAATCACATATTCAGACGGGATGAGTTTCCTTCACACTACAAGAACGTTCACTCTGACATCCAGAGTTGCATCAGTGGATGGTTTGAACAGCGATGCCCTCTGGCCTACCTTGGCTGCACTTTTATTCAGAGAAGGTTTCAGCCCAGCTCTCACAGAGCGACGGTTTTCTATGATAGGGAGCTCAGCACTTTCTGTCTCCGACCGAAGGTTTCAGGCACTCTGTATGATGGTATAAAACCGGTGACTGTGGAAAGAAAGCGTGCACGCAATACAGACGCTCTGAGCAGGCTACCTTTTGAGGTTCTAGTCCATGTTGCTGGATTTCTTGATAGCTTCACCCTGTCCCAGCTGGCTCTGGTCTCTTGTCTAATGAGGGAGGTATGCAGGACCTTGCTTCATGATAGAGGAATGGTCTCACTGAAGTGGGAGAAGAAGGTCTACTCTCATGGTGGATGGTGCTGGAGAGCCAGAAAGAGGGTGAGTTTCTACAGCAATTAAAATTTTGAATAATAATAATAAAAAATGGCAATCTTGTGTAGAGAACAGGCCTATCATTTGGAGTCTGAAGTCACAATGAGCCTTTTGTGGAGAAATGCAATTTTAAAAAACTTGAATTTTCTAGAATCATAATCATTAGAAAGCAGAGACATGTTCAGTGCATAAAATGTGTTTCTCAAAACTCTCAAGACTCAGAATGATGGAGCAGTTCACTTAGCTTGTGTATGTGCATGAACTCTTAAAGGGGTCATATGATGCGATTTCAAGTTTTCCTTTCTCTTTGGAGTGTTACAAGCTCTTGGTGCATAAAGAAGATCTGTAAAGTTGCAAAGACTAAAGTCTCAAATCCAAAGAGATATTCTTTATAAAAGTTAAGAGTCAGCTACGCCTACCTAAAGCGTGTCGTTCTAACACGCCCCCACATATGTACATCACTATGTGGAAATATTAGCATAATGCCGCCCAAATGTGCACGCAAAGAAAGAAGGTGTGGTTTCAGGAACAGCAGTGTTGATGCAGCCATGTCAGGGAGAAGCTGTGTTTCAGTGCGAAAGCAAAGTATCTGACTTACACTAATTGACCTTTAAAACGTCATCAGGTTTGGCAGTTTAGCAACCTGTTCTCCACTGTGGACAGCTGGTGCTTTGACAAATTGCCTCCAATTTCTGAACATCTAAAGGTTTGTCCATACTACCAGAGGGAGAATAAGGCAGCACCTGTTCCTTTAACTGGTGTTAATGAGTGCCACGAGATAAAAGCACACAGGAATCAGAGTCTAGTCTCCATGTTCATGAAAAACGAGTAGCATTTGTATTATAACAATCAAAATAAAGTTTTTTTTGTGTGTGTGACAGACTCACACAATCATTCATCTATACTGAAATTCTGTGTTATTTTGTGCTATTCTGTTTGGAATTTTATTTTGTCATATGTGCAAAAATAAATAAATCACCACATTCTTTTCAGTTTTGGCATGGAATGATTTTTGTGTTGAATTTATTACCCTGTCCTTTCACCCATAAATAAAATTTCTATCAACATTTAATCACCCTCATGTCATTCCAGACCTGTATGCCTTACTTTCTTCTGCAGATCACAAAAGAAGATATATGGGTAACCAAACCATTTTGATTACCATCGACTTGATTATTATCGACATCAAATAGATTTTTATTTGGTAATCTTATAATTGTTGATCTGTGTAGTAAAGGGTTAAGTTGGGTTAAGTTGTTGTGACCGTTTTAAGAAGTAAAACACTGATTTTTGACCTTTTATTATGTCAATAAATGTTTTATGAAAATAAAAAACGGAATGTTGACGGAGAATGGGGAAGGAAAAAAACCCCATGTGTTGGCAATTTCAAAAGATGTTTAATATAGTTCAAATTTTGGAGAAATGAAACAATTACATTTTTTTTTCTCAGCATCAGCCTTTTTTTAACCCCATTTTACCACCCACAATCAAGAAAAGAAGTGTAAAATTTTCAGCGGGACACTGGTAAGACAGAAATTTTTAACTGCTAAGGATTTTAGAATAATAATACAATATTATATTGTCTTAAAGTTGTTTCTATTATAGTATGTTAACTCAAAACGCCTGTGCAGTTGTTAACCTCATTTGTTCTTCGTGATTTAGATGTTTTAGGATGCAGCCGCTGGCTTTACTTGCTTTTCTTTGGGTGCTGCTTCCCTTTGCTTTCTGTCAGGATGATACATGTGCGATACATGGGAGAGATGGCGTGAGTGGAGTCCCTGGCAGGGACGGCTTACCAGGAACAAAGGGAGAGAAAGGAGTACCAGGTGAGAAAGTAATGTGTGATATGAATCCCATATCCAGTTGAAAACGATCAGTTAAAAATAGCATTTTTTTGAGCTTGCAATTGTTAGTATGAAGGAATAGAAATGATCGTTTTTGAATAATAGTATGCTCTCTCAGCATTGCAGGATGAGCTGAACAGTATCACCATGCAAGACCTCAAAGGAGAGACGGGCATCAGAGGTCTTCCAGGAGGACCTGGTCCAAAGGGTTTTATGGGTGCACAGGGTCCAAAGGGTTTTCTTGGTCCTAAGGGTCCTAGAGGATCAAGTGGTGGCATTGATGGCAGTGGAGGCCCTGCCAGCAAGAAGCCAGCTTTCTCTGTGCTGCGAAACCGAGCAGATTATGCTTCATATGGCCAACCTGTGATCTTTGATAGTCAACTTAGCAATGTCGATAATGATTTCAACCTTAAAACTGGCTATTTCACTTGCAAGTTTCCTGGGGTGTATTACTTTGTGTTTCACGCATCGTCTGAAGGACACTTATGTCTCAGACTTAAGAGTGACAGGAATTCAGTCAGCCTGAATTTTTGTGACTTAAACCCAAGATCACTATCTGCTGTTGTGTCAGGTGGTGCCATACTTCAACTATTTACAAATGACAAAGTATGGATCGAGCCTTTCACAAAAAGTGCTGCTGGCAGCAAAATGCCCAAAAGCATGTCTGCTGTGTTCAATGGATTTTTAATCTATCACAAATCATAGGACTTAATAGTCTACATATTAAACACACTGCAAATAATTATTGACTGTGATAGTGATGTATAGCAGTGATGTAAGCATTTCAAAAACATTAATGAAAATCTAATGATCTGTTGCAAGCTGTATTCAAATCTTGTATTCTTGTATCTGGTCTTGTATTAAAACTGCTTTGTTGTCTTTGATAAATGTCTCCAATTAACTAAATAAAAAGCATAAGAACATGTTTATACAAAATGATTACCTTTCATTATATTTTAATTCTAAATTCTACAATCCATTAACAATGAAATATGTGTCTAACGAAAATAAAAGTTGTCTGATTAAAAAAATTAAATGTTAAAAAATAATTGCAATTATTTTTTATTTTAATTATTTGCCACGTTTATTATTTTATATAATATATCTTTATTTTACATTAAAATATTTACACTGAAAAAAGTATGAAACTGTTTTTTTCTCAGAAATCGCTAGTAATTTTCACAAACAATTACAGAGAAAGGCAAGTAACACACTGAATCCAGTAAAAATAAAATAAATAATCCAAATACAAGTAGCACATCTGAAATAGCCTAGTACTTTCTTGTGAAATGTACTATAATAATCTTTGTTTTATTTACAACTTGGAAAAGTAATTTTTGCAAGTGTTGTCAGTAGGGCCCATAAACTTACACTAAGAAAAAAGTCAAATGCTATACTACGAATAAAGATTTGTTTGCATGCAGTTTTGTGAAAGATTCGTGGATAAGTGCAACACGTGCAGCGCAAAAGAGGAACTGTGATTGTCATTAAGTTAGCTTGGACTGGTGTATATGTGTACGATTATAGAGCTCACTATTTCAAGTCGTGTGGGTCCGGTTATCTCCTCGCTCCACAACAAAAATGTTTGGTGGTCACATCATTTTTAGAATTCTTTTAGTGGGTTCCCTCTGCCTGTCTCTAGTCTCTACTGACACTTGTTCTTCTGGAGGGATGCCAGGTTATCCAGGTATCCCTGGATTTCCTGGACGTGATGGAAGGGAAGGGATGAAGGGAGAGAACGGAGAGCCTGGTAAGTTTTCGTTTTTTTTTTAAATTAATTAATTAATTAATTTTTTGAAATAAATCATTCAGAGTGTTTTAGTTTGTGGGAACCTACCAGTTCTTAATCAGAACTTGTTCTATGTTTTAACTATGCAAAAACCGAATGACGTTCGGTTCCGTTAACTCTTCTCGCGCGTGTCCGATTCTCTCACAAACTCAATTCCCGAAAAAAATGACTCTAATGAGCCGGTTCCTTTTAGTGAATCAAAATCGTACAGCGCAAGCAGTGTTACGCAATTCCCAAATGACGGTTGTGGCTAGAAGGGATACTGCAAAAACCGGACGCTAACAATAAATTGAATTTTCTACCTATTAGATTGTGTTTTATTAACGTCTACACCTACCCTAACCCTAACCCTTACAATAATGCAAAAATAGTAATTATTGTTGTACAGTGTGAGAAAAATTACGCTATATTGATGTGCGCATGCCCAGTAGTTTTTGCTGTATGCCATCTAGCCTTAACACCAAATGACTCTACTGAGCTTGTTCTTTTAATGACTCATATCAATGAATCAATCAACAAAGAGATACATGCATTATTATATAATGAATAAAATATATATATATTTTTTTTATCTTTTATATATTTAATATTGTTTATTATAGCCTATAATTAAGGCTATAATTAAGAACTGAATTGCATTTTTGCCAAAAAAAGAAAAGAAAAGTAAACTGTCTGTGTACAGCAATTTTAGTGAACTATAGCTTCTTACCAAAGCTCAGATCAAATAAGTAATAAAACAACAAATTAAATTTAAGAGAAGTGTGTTGTAGGTGTTTGTGTGAACGTTTTGTAGGCTTATATAGTATTAACAGTAATACCTGCAATAACAAACATTGTGGGAATATTTGGGTGAACCCAATTATGAAAACAAAAGTACTGAATTATATAACCTACTAATTAATAGTTAAAAATGCCAACCGATGTTGAGACAGTGTTAGGTTGTAGTATAGGCTGTATACTATACTTCTAACATGATGTAAAAACAACTGTGTATCTCAACAGGGATGCCTCTTAAACCTGATGAAATCAAGAAAAGGGGGGGAAAAGGAGAGCCTGGAACCAAAGGAATTCATGGAAAGAGAGGTCTCCAGGGAGATTTCGGCATAATGGGACCACCCGGCCCCACAGGACAGTCAGGGGACACAGGCAATTTGGACACTTCCAGATCTCATCTGCAGTCTGCATTCAGTGCTGCCCGTGCCACTAGAGCCCATCCTGAGCCAAACTCTCTGATACGCTTCAGTACTATTATCACCAATATCAATGGCGATTTCAATATTGCAGAGAGCAAATTTGTATGTAAAATTCCTGGCACTTATTATTTTGTGTTTCATGCATCGTCCTATGAAAAACATCTCTGTGTAAACCTAATTCATGATGATAAGAAGTTAGCTGTTTTCTGTGATCACATGCAAAAGAGCAACCAGCAGGTGAGCTCTGGAGGGCTAGCAGTTTATCTGAAAGAGAATGAGAAAGTCTGGCTGATGACAGGTGGCTATAATGGCCTGTTTGCAGAAGGGGAGAAAGCAGACAGTGTTTTCTCAGGTTTCCTGATTCATGCACACTGATTGATTGCACTGTTTTGAACTATAAAGTTGAGCGAAGTTGATGCTTGTTAAACATACTGTATCTTTTACTCATGGAAAATGCACACAATTACGTTTTGAAAAGCTACTGATCAAATAAAATAAAATAATGCTTCAGTAAATTGTCTCAAGTTTTATGAATACACAGTATCACTCTTTTCAAAAGATCTGACACATAATCTTTTCAGAACCTGTCAACCTGACCATAGGGATTGTTAATAGTTAATAATAAGCACAGTTTTAGCAAATAATTCTTAACATTATCTGATGATAGCAATTCACAGTGTCTATGTAAGTCAGCTACATGTCATATATCATAAAAAAAGGTTTTGTGATACATACTCTATACCATTCAATCATTCAATTATTATCAGTGTTGAAAACAGTTGTGCTGCTTAATATTTTGTGGAAACCATGATAGATTTTTTCTCAGGATTCTCTGATGAATAGAAAGTTTAAAAGAACAGCATTTATTTTAAATAGAAATCTTTTGTTACATTATAAATGTCCACTGTCACTTTTGATCAAATTAACGCATCCTTGCTAAGAAAGTACAAATTTCTTTCAAAACACTTTTCGATATGGATAACTTTGCTTCCTTTTTCAGTTTCTCAGAAAAGGGATATGGAACTTGCAAACATTAGCAAAATAAAATGTCAAAAACACTAATGAAATAGGTAATCCAAGGTTAATCTAAATTATGATGAATATGTGTTTTGATACTTCCCTTTATTGTGCAACTCTGCACTTCTCCTCTGAAACCGGGAAATCAAATCAGAGCTTTTCATGCAGACCGGAGAAAAACATTCAATGTAACACTCAGCTTCAAGGCCATCCATCTGTATTTCCAACAGCTTTCTTGGAAGATAAGATGGTAAGATAAATTATTCATCTTATTGTAATAAATCTATATTTGGCTTCTATTTCAAAAATTCTTATTGAAATACATCATTTGATTAAAGGAATATTTACATGCTTGCTTATATCAGTCACTGTAGCAGAACTGAATTGTCCAATGATTTTTCCTTGAAATGGCACTTGTTTTTAAATAAGTTTTTTTTTTTTTAAACAGGCATTCATCTTCATGTCTGCACATATGGTGCTGCGGCTTACTATTATGCTGTTGCTGGTGGCTTCCTCTGAGTCAGAGACATGTGATGGCTACAGAGGTTTCCCTGGAAGACCAGGTATTCCAGGAGTTCCTGGTACCGATGGGAAGAATGGTGCAAAAGGAGAAAAAGGAGATCCAGGTATAGTGATATGTGGAAAAAACTGCAAATTGAAAGTCAAAAATGTGCCTTCTGTTTCCCTCGACTGTCCTAAATAAAGGCAAAGAATCCGATAAATAAAATAAAAAGTCTGCATTTTAACCCATAAAATCTTATGCTTAACCCTTGTGCTGGTGTTCATGATCAAAAAATGACCGGCCTTTTAAAAATGGCTTGTAAATCTCCCATTATGCTATATTATTATTAATATTATTAAATCCTGGATTCACTCTTTTTTGTCAACTTGATTTTTTTTTCAATTAGCAAAGTTTTTATATTTCTTTTTGTAAGGGATTATTCATAGGCCTGCACTTATCTGAGCTTATGCACCTATTGAGTGACAAAAAGCTTTATTTGTGGATAATTTTGGGAATATTCACTCAAAAACTAAGGTGCATAAGCTCAGATCAATGAGGCCTCTATGACCTATTAGCTCTAAAAAGAAGTACAAAACGTGTGCTAATTAAAAAAAAGTGGATAAAAAGATTGAATCCAATATTTGGAAATAATATGCCATAAAAAGTACACTATTTATTTATTGTTTTTGTTTGTTTGTCATAAACTGTGTGAGCAAAGTTGGTAAAGGGATAGTTCACCTAAAAATGAAAATTCTGAATGTAAATGAAAAAATCATTTACTCACCCTCAAGTTGTTCCAAACCTGTATGAGTATCTCTCCTCTCGGAACACAGAAGAACATATTTTGAAGAATGTTGGTAACCAAATCAAGTTTCTGGTACCCACTGATTTCAACTGATTGTTTATCCATATTTGGGAAATAGAGAGGTACTCATACAGGTTTGGAACAACTTGAGGCTGAGTAAATGATAACAGATTTTTTTTTTTTTTGTGTGTAGATTATCCCTTAAGTTTTAGTCTAATGCAAGAACATTAACTAGCATTTTCTGGAAAAAGAAAACCCTGCCTGAGTCAAAATGACAACATGAAGGTTAAACTCACTTTACCTGGCTGTGTGCGTGATTGCAGGTGAGGATGCAGTGCCGATAATTGGGCCAAAAGGGGACCCTGGAATTCCTGGACTCCCAGGCAGGCCTGGTGAGAAGGGGGACAAGGGACTACATGGTCCACCAGGCCCAGTGGGACCGAAGGGAGAGAGGGGAGATTTTACTGGGGTAGATACTCCAAACCAGTATTTTGTTTTCTCTTACAAAAAAAGTTCTCGGACACAGAGAGTTCAACCAGACAAATTAATCGTCTTTGACATCCCACTGATCTCTGGGGCAGGTGATGTTTTGGATAGTGAGGGTTTCTTTGAGGTGGGAAAAGCTGGCATGTATTACATCAGTTACCACATTTCATCCAGTCAATCTGCCTGCCTAAAGATTCAGGTAGGGGAGGAAGAGAAGGTCAAGTTCTGTGATTCACCTGGAATGATTATGGTAACTGCAGGATCTGTAGTACTGCCACTGAAAACAGGTGATAAGGTGTCTGTACAGACAACTGCGCTGAGCTCTATCTTCAGTAGAGACACTGACTGCACCTTTACAGGCTTCTTGCTCTTCCCAATGAATGGATAAGATGATTTTGATTAGCCACACCCTTGATTTTACTCTTCCTTATTACAATTTGCAACCATTGCTTGGGAATATCTAATGTTATTGTTGATTAAAATTGTTGATGCTATCTTATATCGTTTCTTGACTTCTTTCACTATACTTATAATAAAGTGCATTGTTTTATATTTATATATTTATTCATGAAAGAAAAAATGTATCACAGTTTCCACAAAAATCAGCACCAAATCAGCATATTAGAATAATTTCTGAACACTGTAATACTGAAGACTGTAGTAATGAATGCTGAAAATTCAGCTTTGCCATCACAAGAATAAATTACATTATAAAGTATATTACAATAGAGAATAGTTCATTTAAATAGTAATAATATTTCACAATATTATGGTTTTACTATTTTGATTAAATAAATGCAGCCTTGGTAAGCATTTGATAGTAACTTCTTTCAAAACCATAAAAAGAAAAGAAAGGGAAAGAAAAGAGCATACACAAATACAAAGTATATATGTATATACAGCATATATATATATATATATATATATATATGAAGTGTTTGGTTCCAAAACGCTATAAATCCATTTTGATTAATTTGAGTAAAAATTTGTTTTCTTTACCAAGAAAGTGGACATTGCATAGACTTCTATTGATTTTCTGTCAGGATAATGGTATTTCTATTAGTTAACCCAACCCCTACCCCTAAACCTACCCCTTACAGAAACATGTGCAAAACACTAGATATAAATAAAAACATATTTTGGTTAATTTATAAGCCTTTTTAACTGAGGACCAGTAAAATGTCCTCACTGGTGGACTGTCATGATCTTTCACAATATAAGTGAGGACATTTGTTTAAAGGGGTCATATGACGTTGCTAAAAAAGAACATTATTTTGTGTATTTGGTGTAATGGAATGTGTTTATGCGGTTTAAGGTTCAAAAAACACATTATTTTCCACATACTGTACATTATTGTTTCTCCTCTATGCCCCGCCTTTCTGAAACGCTCGATTTTTACAAAGCTCATTGGTCTGAAAAGCGAGGTGTGCTCTGATTGGCCAGCTATCCATATACAGTATAAATGTAACTAGTTTACCCAGCTAATAATTTCCCAGAATTTTCTAAGGACTGTTAGTTTATGGTTATTTAAGCTGAAAAGAACAGCCTAAAACATTCCTTACAATGTTCCCAATGAAATAACCAAACCATACAATAACATTAGGGAAATAATAACAATATGTTTTCTTGGTTATTAATAAATTGAGCTTTTTTTAAGCATAAATATTGAGATACTGAAACCGGCTGTTTTTATTCAGGTTTGATTAAACTAAGAGTCTCATGCTGAGCACAAGTGCAACGTCTCGTCAGTCTATGGTATTTATTACAGAACACTCATTGTTCTTGAGCCAAGTCCATCACCCTTCAGGCTTTCTATAAAGAATAGAGCAGCCATGGCAACAGCCGCTAACTGAGTGCAACAGCCATTCCCTAACATGCCACTGTGCTGCAAGAATGTAAAAAAAAATCAGCAGCTACCAAACTGCTCAGAAATCAAATCCACGGGAAGAAAATGTGCCATGCATGAGGTGAGTTCACTTTTTTTAATTGGAGGACAAAGAGGACAAGGTGAAATAATTTTAAATTCTATAAAGGTTTTGAAATCAGCCAATAACTACTCTGAATATATATAGTGCACAAGTAAACATCTCATTAGAAAATGTTTAAGTGTGACTAAAATTACTGATTAAAAAATTGAAACATAACCTTTAAATCACCTTCATTCATAAAAAAACAATGGTGTAGAATATTTTTTTTACAAGTTTAAATATACACCAGTATATTTGGTGTATATACCAGTCTCACCAATAACTCAAAGATGACTACTCATGAGAAGACAATCAGCAAGCAACAGAGACCATCTCTAAGAATCCCATTTGGTCACCGACGTAGAACAGATATATTGCTCCTCAAAAACGGTCAAATGACGTTGAAACACCCACAAGCCTTTCCAATGCTGGGAGAACTTCCTTCTTTGGCTGGTAAGCAGTGAAACAAGCAGATTTTCATTTGTCCTCAGCTTTCATTCAGAATTCCCAAAGACATATGACTATAGTTAGGTCTGTAACAGTCAGCAAATGGTACATGGCATTCAGATGATAAACTAAAGCATATTTGAATGAGTGTCACTTACAAAAAGACAAATGCTGACAAATATTCTCTTCAGGCTTACTGCTCTACCCTGGTAAGCGGGAAAAGATGGTAACCACAACAGAAACTGAATTTGGACCCAAAACCTGCCCAAAGGT